TTGTATTAGAGTCTGACTCCTTCGCCCACTGCTGCCTGGGTGTTGTGAAAAACCATGAGCTTGGGATGGGGGTGGAGGACATGGGGGGCGCATTCCTGTCCCGTCCTTCGCCCACTGGAGCGTGCCAGCGGGACTCCTGGGGAGGAGAGGGATGGTTGGCCAGGATCCTCAGATTCGCGTAGCCCTGCTGGTTCCGAGGCTCTAATCCAGGGTCTATGAAGCTGAGAGAGGGGCTACCACGCTCCTCCCCTCCCCTGAGCTGTCCTCTGGCTGGGGCCGAGGGTCTCCCCCTGTCCTCAGGCACCCCTGCCTTTTTTCCGTCCACTCCCATGGTGCGTCCTGGGAAGCTGCCCGGTTGTGTTGGCAGATCACCAGCTTCTCTCTCCGTGCCCTGCCTTGCCTCCGGCCCCGTGGCGCTCGGGCTTTCTGCCCTCCCTCCCACTCCAGCCCACTCTCAGGAGGCTCTTTAATGAGGAGGCTGCAGGGACTGCTGGACGCGTGTTTGAGGGCACCGGGCAACGTCCTCCGATGGCAGGAATGGGGCTTCGGCGCCTGAGCACTCAGCTTCTCCCGGCTGGGGAAGCCTGGGCACTTCAGCTTCCTGTGCCTCAGTTTCCTGTTGTGCAAGAGGCGGATAAGAGTAATACCCACCTCTCAGGGCTGCTGTGAGAATCAGGTAAGTTAAAATACCTAAAGCACAGAGGAGAGCACTTAGCATATAGTAAGTGCTCATACATGTCGGCTAGCATCATTGTTCTTATTTTTTTATTTTTACCTTTTTACAGACAGAGTCTCACTCTGTCACCCAGGCTAGAGTGCAGTGGCATCATCATAGCTCACTGCAGCCTCCAACTCAAGCGATCCTCCTGCCTCAGCCTCCCGAGTAGCTGGGACTCCAGGCACGGCTCATTGATCTTATTAACGTGCTTCTCCTATAGACATTTGCAGTTGCTTTCCTGCCTACCTCAGTGATTCCCCATCGCCTACAACAGAGGTCCCTACCTGGTGTGCCAAGGCACTCTGCTGTCCGGGAATGGGCTACGGATGGGCTGAGGCAGTGACCCCATAGCCCTGGAGACAGCCGGCCCCCCTGCTGCTCATCTCTGCCCATTCCACTTGCTTCAGAGTCCCGTGCAAGACAACCTGAACTTTAAAACAATTTTTACAAATCTCCCTCCAGATTTGGTCCAGTAAATGAGGTTGAGTGACATATTATAGCCCCTTGACTCCTTTCCGAGGAATTGGGCTGGGATGGGAGGGCCTCTGGGGTCTGGAGGTGACTCAGTTGGGGGAAGGGATTGGTGATTTTTGGGGGAAGAGATGGTGCCTGGGGCAAGAGCCTACCCCCAAAGAAGAGGGTGTCTTAAATGTTCACGGTTCCTTCTTTTGCCTCCAAAAGTGACATTTACTCAAAGAAAAAAAAGAAAAACTGGCAAGAGTTCATCCCTTGGCTCCCTTCCCTCCCACCTCCTGCTGCTTCTCACACCCCCAGGATCGAATCCCGGCTGGGGCGGGGAAGCAGAACAGCCCCTCTCAGATGAGGTCAGCAACACCGAGGGGCATCTCCCCAGCGGGGGTGTCGAAGAAGGTCTCAGTGTCGTGAAGAGTCCTCTTCTTCTGTCACCAGGTTCAGAGCCATACTCTCACGACCAGAATGTCCACACGACCAATTCTGTGGATGTCGTTTTCCCTGTTGGTGGGAAGGTCGCAGCTGATGACTAAAGAGACCTGCTACACATTGCTGCCCCCGGCCAGCAGGCCAGCGGTAATCAGGACTCCGCTAGAGCCAGGACGGGACTCCCACACGAGCACATCTTGTTGCTTTTGGTCCACATCTCCGTGCAGGGCAGAGACAGGTCTCAGGCGAGCATCTCCTCAGTCGACCTTCCTGCAGGTGTTGATGAAGATGACTGCCTGGGAGATGGTCAGCGTTTCATGTGAGTCACATGGTGTGTCCGGCTTCCACTCCTCTCATTCCACATTGATGTAGAACTGGCAGACATCTTCCAGGGTCAACTCTTCCTTCTTGACAAGAATCTGGCCAGGTGCAGTGGCTCACGCCTGTGGTCCTAGCACTTTGGGAGGCTGAGGCAGGAGGATCACTGGAGCCCAGGAGTTTGAGTTTACAAGTTTACAAGTTGAGCTATGATGACGCCACTGCACTCCAGGCAGGACAACAGAGTGAGACCCTGTCTCTGGAAAAAAAAACAAAGTCCAAATAGTGTCCCACATGAACATCTTGGTCACCACAAGCACAGCAGAAGGCATTGTAGCTGACAGCAAAGCCACCCGAGTGTTGCTGTCAAGCTTTTGGAATATGTCAGATCTGGTCCTCGAATCCAATCCGCGGCTTCACATTTCGTCAGCTCCATCCAAGGCAAATGTCTTGCTGTATCTGGGAGACAGATGTCTCTGGTTAAGCACATCACACATGAGGCCGGGGGTCCCCACGATGACATGCGGAGCTTCTACCTGCAGCTTCTGCACCTCGGAATGCACGCTGGTGCCCCCAGTGCAGGCGTGACAAGAGACACACGTGTAATCTCCTAGTGGCATGGCCACCTTTTGTGTCTACTGAGCCAATTCTCGAGTGGGTGCCAGAACCAAGGTCTGGGTGGCCTTAAGATCCAATTCAATCTGCTACAGAACGGATGTGACAAACGGGGCTGTTTTCCCAGTCCCAGACTGTGCTTGAGCGATCGCACCATAACCCTCGATACAGGGACGAATCACTCGCAGTTGGATAGCAGGGGGCGTCTCAAAACCACGGGCATAGATGCCACGGAGGAGGGACCCCGAGAGGTTCGTGTCACCAGAGCTGTTGACAATCTTGTTCCAATTACCCCTGATGATGCCTTCAGGCTCCATCCCGTGGGGACTATTGTCTCTGGATCAGGAATCTTGACTCACAGACATGATGCTTAGAAACTAGCCAATCAGAACCCCTAAGCATGACATTCAAGGCCTTTGATCACCCAACACGGGCGTATTTCTCCCCACCCAGATGGCCCCGCTCCCTGTCACACAAGCGCCCCAGCTTTCTCACATTCGGTACCTCTGCGTGTGCTGCTCCTGCTGCCTGGAGCACCTGGGATGTCCCTCCTCCAGGGAGCCTCTCCTGACCTGACACTCTGTCCTCCTGTCCCCTCCCCCACTTTGTGTGTCCTTCTACATTCATAAAAACCAAGGGTGCTGGTGGCCCACACTGTGCCTTTGGGCAAAGTGGGAAAAGGCACTCCTTCCTCAAAATGCTTTCTTCCATCTGCTGGGAAACTCTTGCAATAGATGTGCCAATTTGTAACATCTAAGATATGAAGGAGGAGCTCTTCTGTTGACACCAGAGATGCCACCTGGGGAGCACTTCCGCAGGCCAGGCCCTGTGCTAGGTGCCTTATCCCAAATATTGTTCACGAAGCCATGCAGGAAACTGTTTATCTCACAGCTAAGGAACGTGGAGTTCAAGGCTAAGTCCAAAGTATGTAACCAGCAGGTGGCAGAACCAGAGTTTGAACTCCAGAGCCCCTGCGGTTAATCGCTTGGCAAGATTGTCCCCAGAGAGTTGTTGCCCAGGTTGCTGCCTCCACATCTGCTCTAGACCTCAGGGTGAGCTCCTTTTTTTTCTCTTTTTTTTACTATGTTCCAGAGAGAGTGGAAGAGGTCAGTCTCCACGAGCGGAGAAAGACCTAGCGTGAGCTCCTCGAGGCAGGGGCCACATTTCACCCACTGCCAAAGCTCTGGGACCATGCAGAGGAGGCACAGATTGGGTAGCACCAAGTGTGTGCTGGTGGAAGGAGCCCCTCTGCAGGGCGTGGGGTTCCAGGGGCTGGGGCTTGTTCCCCTGGGTTGTGGCTAAAGCTGGAGATGTTTGGACCAAAGAGCCCCTGCTTAGGCCTTAGGGTCTGCCCTTGCCCCAAGTCACACAGAGAAACCCTGTCTTAGTGCCCAATGATTCTGTTAGTCCCTGAATCCAGGTTTTTCCGTGTCCACAGTTGTGCTGTCTGCTGAAGTGGGGTGAGGTTTATAAAGGGGGGTCACCTGCCTGAGGGTCAGGAAGCCAACAGAGGCCTGTTGCTCTGGTTTGGATGTTTGTCCCCCGCCAAATCTCATGTTGAAATTTGATCCCAAGTGTTGGGAGCGCCTAATGGGAGGTGTCTGGGTCACGGGGATGGATCTCTCATGAATAGATTAATGTTCTCCCTAGGGGGTGAGTATTCACTCTTAGTTCCTGATTGTTAAAAAGAGCCTGGCACCTCCTGTCCCTCTTTTCCTTCCTCTCTCGTCATGTGATCTCTGCACACACCTGCTCCCCTTCACCTTCCCCCATGAGTAGAAGCAGCCTGAGGCCCTCACCAGATGCAGATGCCCCGTGTTGAACTTTCCAGCCATCAGAATGGTGAGCGAAATAAACCTTTTTCTTGTTAATTACCCAGCCTCTGGTATTCCTTTATAGCAACACAAAACAGACTAAGAGACCTATCAAGGGAGATCATAAAGGCATGTCTGAGTTTTCCAGGCAGACCCGGGGCAAGGTGAAGGATGTTCCTGGCAGAGGTAGGGCCAGAGGCTAGGGCTGGGGGTAGGTGGAGTGGTAGATACCTTCTTGGCCTGGGGGCCAGAGGACACCCGGCTTTGGATAGCCGACTCTGAGTCTAGTGCAATTCTTTACTGCTGCTCAATGCCAGAAACCTAATTATGCCTTTGCATGACTCTAATTATCGCCTTTTCCAGAGCTCTGCCGGTAAAAAGTGGGGAGCTATGCAAAGAGCCCCCTTTCAAGGCCAGGGTGTGTCTCACAACCTGCCAACCAAGCGTCCCCATTGCAATCTCCACGGCCCCAACAAGCAATGTTGTCTCCGTGAAAAATAAGAGAAAGAGGAGCTGATGGCATTGTGGGGGTCTCTACGTTTTCGGGGGTAAGGTCCTGGAGTCAGCCGCATGATCTTTGTAAGTTGAATGGCACTGTGCACAGCACTTACAAGCACAGGCTTGGAACCACACTGTCTGGCTGTGACCCTGACGTCACCTAACCTCTTCAAGCTTCAGTTCCTCACCCAGAAAACGGCACCTATCTCATAAGTTAATGTACGTAAAGCCCTTAAACAGTGGCTGGCACATAGCAGACCAGGATAGCTATTACTTTTATTACTTGTCCAGATGTGTCAATGTAGCTCTGAAGAGAGTGACAGAAAAGGTCCCTATCCTCTGCTGGTCTTCAGGGAGATTCCATGTGAAAGTGCTGGGCATCTTGCTGTGCTAAAGGCATGTGGGGGGAGGGATTGGTCCTCACCCGAGTCAGAGTTGTCTCCTCCTTGAGAGGAAGGAGAACAGTGGTGAATAAGGTCATGACTCACAGTGGCAGGAAAATTCTGAGTTAAGCACCTCCCTACCTGAAACGACCCACCTACCAGCCTTGCTCTGCCCAAGGAGGTGCAGTTTTGTTCTAACCCCTCCAGCCCTTCCTCTGTTTCCGTCGTGCTCCTGTTTCAACTTCTCCCCAGGAGCTCCATGAGATAAAGGCCCCATCTGCCTTGTTCACGTGTGTCTCCAGGTTACAGACATGATGCTCAGTAAATGTTGCTGATGAAAAACGACTTGGAAAATGAGTGGGGCTTAGGAGGCCAGTCTGTGTTGATGAGCCCAGTCAGTCAAGGGGCTGAGGAAGGTTGGAGGCCTTTGCAGAGTGGCGGCAGCAGGGAAGCCCCCATCCTCATGGCTACAGCCACAGTTCCTCCTGGGCAGCTGCTTCATCCGCAAACACGGGGAATCTGGCTTTCAGTGACTGCCATGCAACTTGCACGTTTTAAAGATGTTTTATTAAAAAAAAGAGAAACCAACCAAACAAAAAACCCAACCCAAGAACTCTTGGTTCTGGGAGTCTGGGAGCAGCTTAGGTCTGCGGGGAAGGTAGAACCTGGAAGACACAGTATGGGGGCCTCTGAGCCCTGGGAGGAGAGCAAGAGCCCGGCACAGCGGACAGGAAGAGCAGCCTCTCCTCAGGGCTCAGCCTCTCTCTGGGGCCTGGGCTTTTCCCACTTGCAAAAGACAGGTGTGGGGCTCAGCCCCCAGAAAAAGGCAGGATAGGCAGTTCTGGACGGCCCTCAGGCCTTTTGTCAGAGTCACCAACCACTTGGGAAGCAGAGGGTGGCCCAGGGCTCGATCCAGCCTATCAGCGCCATCCCCGACTACGGGGTTCGGCCCACGATAGGGAGATGGGCTCGGATAGAGAGACGCACCCCAAAGTTCAGCATGGGACTCAAGCCCCTTGGAAAGACAGGACCCTGACGGGGCGGGGCCTGGAGGCAACCGCAGGCCGACTCCTGGGCGGGCAAGACAGGGCCCGGGGTTCCAGAGGCCGGGAGCTCAGGGACTCTGGGGGCTGCGGGGCAGCGCTCGGATGGGCCGCGGCGGGGGGTTGTCCAGGACCGGCTCGGGCCGGGCCCGCGCGCCGCCGCGGCGCTTCTGCTTGCGCAGCAGGTAGTTGGAGTACTGCACCTCGGGCATGGCCAGCTTGAGGCAGGCCTCGGTGGCCGGGCCGGCGCCGCCGCTGGGCAGGTCGTAGCCCATGATGTCCACCTTGCGGCTGGGCTGCCACGGCTGCAGCTGCTTGGTGCGGATCTGCGCGGCCGGCCGCAGCGCGGGCTCGTCGCCGAAGCAGCGGCGCAGCAGGCGCTGGCGGGCCTCGCGCAGCTCGCGCGCCTCGCGCTCCACGCACGCGCGGCCGGCTCGCGCCACGCGGCGCCAGAAGGTGGCGTTGAAGTGGTCGTAGAGCCCGGCGTCCAGGGCGTTCCAGGCGCGCGCCGCCCGCGCCAGCGCCGCGGGGATGGCGGCCAGGCGCGAGCTGGCGGCGCGCGCGTTGAGCTTGGCGTAGAGCACGTCGTCCAGGTCCCAGGCCAGCAGGCGCCGCAGCAGCACGAGCGACTCGTCGAAGTACTCGGCGATCATGACGAGCGAGAAGACCTCCTCCACCTGGCGGATGAGGCGCTCCAGGTAGGCGGCGTCGTCGCGCGGGCTGCGCTCGTTGTCGCCGCCCAGGTCGTAGGCCAGCGTGTTGTGCGCGAACATAGCGAAGTGCTCGCCCGCGCGGTAGTAGGCCTCGGGCGCGCGCAGGAAGGCGGCGAGCGACGCGTTGGGCACGCGCCGGAAGGCCGGGCAGTACTGGTTGTAGTAGCTGAAGAGCGACTCGAACATGGCGGCCGGCTCGCGCAGGATGGTGACGTAGACCGTGCCGGGCGGCATGAGGCGCGCGAGCTCCGCGCGGTCGAAGCGCAGGTGGCTGGCCAGCACGTGCGGCGGCCGCGTGGCCGGGTGCACGAAGTGCGCCGAGAAGTTGCGCGGGTAGCAGAACTGGTGCTCGCAGCTTGGGTGCGGCAGGGCCACCGTCAGGTTGTGGCGCTCGGCGAAGCGGAACAGGATGTTCTGCACCGTCGTGCCCGCCGTCTTGTGCGTCTTCAGGAAGGCCACGGTCGTGTGCTTGGGGCGCAGCGGCGAGTCCCGCAGAGGCGGGCAGCTCAGGGGGAACAGCTTGGGGTACCTGCCGGGCCCGGGGTGTGCGGGGAGGAGGGTGTGAGGCGGATGCTGCTCGACCCCTGCCCCTCCATGAGGAGCGCCCATCGTGGGCTTTGCCCGTGGAACAGCAGAGGGCGGTGGTCGGGAGCCTCAGAGATGACCCCATGGTCCCTGCTGGCCTCCTGGCAGTCACGCCCTTGTGTATTCCCCTCCCCTGAGTATGAGCTGGGCTTACTGGTCCTTCTAAGGATAGAAGAGGGCAGGAATCATGGGATGTCACTTCTGAGATTATACCGTAAAGATTGTGGCTTCTATCTTGGTCTCTCTCTCTCTCTTACTCAATCCAGGATAACTCACGCTGAGGGAAGCAAGCTGCCATATTGTGTGCAGCCCTATGGGGAGGTAGGTAGCACAGTGGCAACAGTCCCCGAGGAACTAGCCTCCCTCAGTCTATCGGCCTGCTGGAAGAACTGAAGGCTGCCAAAACCACGAGTGAGCTTGGAAGCAGGTCCCTTCCAATCGAGCCTTCAGATGAGACTGCGTCCCCAACAGACACGTTGGTTGCAACCCCATGAAAGGCCTTGATCCAGAAGGACCCAGTAGAGCCACACCTGGATTCCTGACCCACAGAAACTGTGAGATAATGTTCGCTGTTTTCAGCTGCTAAGTTTGTTTTTGCAGAAATTGATACTATTTAATAAAAGGACAAAGGCCTCTGGAGATTCTTGAGGAATCCCACTTTACAAATGTAGAAACTGAGGACCGGAAGGAGAAAAATCGCTTACATAAAGTCAGGAAACAATTCAGTCACCAAATCCTCTTGCTATCCGTCTTTCTAATTTTCACTCTTTAACCAGCTCCTCACTTTGTAGATGGGTGGCCCTGGGCTTTGTGGCGACCCATTTGTTACGTTTCTGTTAAGACCTCTGGAGCCTCATTCATTCATTTAATAAATACATTTCAATTGTCCACTATGTACCAGCCACTGTTCTAGGCTCAAGAAATACAATAGTATATAAAAACAGATAAAAACCTTAGCCCTCTCGAAGCTTTTGTTTCTGTTCCTTGTTCTTGAAACAAGGATGTTTGGCATTTCAAACCAGCAAATCATCTGGTAAGGGGGGCTGGGCCCATTCGCGCCATTTGCAGGGGCAGACAGTGTAGAAAATGGGGAATTGGAAGCCCTGAGAGGTGCAGGGATTTGTTGGGTTCACACAGTGGGTCAGGAACAGTGTCAGGGTTCCCCGTAGTTACCACGTGGTCTCTTGTGTCAGGGTGACTAGCTGGGTCACACATGTCATCAGTCCCACTTTATAGATGAGGAGACCAGGAGAAGTGAGCGGCCTTGCCCTCACCCAGCACAAGAGAAGTGGTAAGAAGTTGTCTGAAGTCCACGGGGAGGCACTCAACCGTGTGCTGTGGGATTCGGGCTGGATTTGAATCCCAGCTAACCCTAACTACGACTTTGAGAAAGTCACTCCACCCTTTCAGTGAAGACCTGCCCTGTGCGGCTCTAGAGCGATGTAAGGAAAGCACTTTCAGAGTAGAGGGAAGGAGCAAAGCCCAGTAGGAGGCTCTGGCAGGTGGAAGGATGGGAAGAGGCGCTCCCAGTTTGCTAAGCCAGGCCGCCGCTGCTGGAGGAACCGCCTCCCCTGGGCCCCGCCCCTCGCTGAGGCCCCGCCCCTTACCAGCTGAGCTGCGCCCCCTGGTGGACGAGGAGGCTCACGGTGCTGCACCCCAGCACCAGCAGCAGGACTTTCCTGCGGCTCATCATCTTGGTGGCCTGCTGCAGGCGCTGGACGATGGCTGGCATGGTGGAGTGTCTGTCCGCCCTGGACAAGCCAGGGACTCGCTATCCAGGACTCCCTTTGCAGGCACTCATGGGGGCTCCTGCGGCTCTGGTAGCAGGGCCAGTGTTCCTGAGAAACCTGGCAGGAGAAGGAGGCAGACAGGTTTGCAGTGGGCAGAGGAGATGGGCTCCGTGCCCCAGCAGGACTGCTGCGAAGGCGAGCTCCAGTGGGTGGGGTGAGCAGAGAGGCCAGGGCAGATCAGATTCCTCCCTCCCATTACCAAGAACCTATCTCCTCACTGCCGCAGATAACCTAGTCTTGGGTGGAATTACAGGGTCTGGGGTGTGGCCAGTCCTTCAGGTTTGTAGCCACTCCCTCCCTTGAGTCCTGTCTCTGCCTTGCCGCCTGCCCCTAACTCTTCGTTGTCTTGTGGTCATCTGTTTCCCCAGCAGATTGGCCTCAACACCAGGGCTTGGCTCAGAACACGGAAGTCTCCGCTCAAGGTTTCTGCCTCTCCAGGACGCCCTGCCTGATTGCTTCAGCCAGGAGTTGGTCCTGACCCCAGAGAGACTGAGCTCCTCAGAACCACTGGCCAGGCTTTCACCTCCTCGAGTCCCAGAGCAGTGCTGCAGGCTTACTCTGAGTGCTGCACTGTCACCTACTTAGTCCCATTCGGTCTACACTACATAGTCCCATATTCCCTAACATAGTCCCACTTTACAGATGAGGAATCTGAGCCTGTAAGAGATGATGTCACGTGTTCGTGGTTACACAGCTGGTAGCAGTAGAACTAGGATTCATACCTGCTTTTTCTGGCTCCAGAGTCCATGTCCTTAGATGCTACATGTGCTGTTTCCGTGGAGAACTGATTTCCCTATCCCTGCCCTAGGGGGCCTAAGAGTGAGAAATCCACAAGGGAAAGGGGAATTGAAATCCTGGAACTCTATCCGGATTCCATCCCCAGACACCTGAAACCCAGGCGGCCATCAGCTGACGGCTGAGGTGCTTGGCCAAAGCAATGGGCTGGCAGCCTGTGACGGGAACCAGGTCGGGTGGGGCGGGGTAAAGAAGTGGCTCCTGCTCGTCGCCCTGCAGAGGATCTCCAGGATAAGGTGAGCCTCCATCGCAGGTGAGCAGCAGGAGCCAGGGCGGGAGAAGGGCTGGTTTCCAGCCATGGCTTAAGGGTGGCCCAGCCCTTGGGAAGTCAGCTTAGGCAGAGATGCCTGTCCCCCGGCTAGGGTGGGGTCTCTGTCTCAGGAACCTTAGTCTCCAGGTTCAAGTTCAGCTTCATCCGTCACACACACCCCTCTCCAAAGGGCGGGGAGGAGGGACTGGAAACTTCGGGCATGTGCACGTATGTGGAACTGGAACTAGGACACCTGGGTCCCAGGAGGGGTGAGATAATGTGAAAACCCTTTGACCAGCACCTTCCCCTGGGGCCCTGGGCTTGGCTTCCAGTCTCTACTCTTGACAGCCCCCCATTAATCCTGGATTACACTTAAACCTGTTTGGGTTGGAAAGATGTCCTGGTTGTGCCTCCCCTTCTCTCTAGGCCGCACCGCCTGGTTTCCTCCACCAATCTGCAGACAGACTTAATCTGCCTGGAGCCGAGGGGTGAAGGGTCCAGCCACAGAGGGCAGCCAGGGGCATCTCGGAAGAAGCCTAAGGCCCTCCCTGTCTTTTCAAGGATTGCTGGGCACAGAAGGGCTGGCCTGGCCTGGTTGGGACGGCCTGTGGAGGCAGTGAGAGCCCTTGGCTCTCTAAGGATACACACCATCTTCTCTTGTCACTCCTCCTGCCTAGAGGACTTGGTGACCAGAGGGAAGTTTCCCAAGGGGACAAAGTAGGGGACGAGTCAGTTCCCACCTCTGCTAAACTTGCTGAAACCACCTTATTTCTTGGAGGAGTCAGGGTTGGACAAGGAGGCCAAGCCTGTGGGGCGCTACAGCCAATCTCTCCTGGGGGGAAGCTTCCCCGGCCACACAGAGTGACAGGGGTGCCTGGTGCCCCTGCACCCCACTCTGGATCTTTCCCCTCTCCCCTCCGTGGCTTCGCCCCGGGGAGACAGCCAGACCCCAGTCCAAGGCCTGCTTGGGGACACTAGCCCTTGGAGGTGGGCACCAGCTTCTGTTTGTCCAGCACCGATGACAGGCTGCTCATCACCTCCATACACAGCCCGGTCCATTTCCGAGCAGTTCAGCTGCTCCAGTTCTTTCTGGGACAGCTAGGAGGACCCTGCTCCTCGCCGTGCCCTCCTCAGCCTGCCCTTTCCACCTCCCCTGTGCACTGTTGCTTGTGCTGCCCTCCGAGAGCACGCACATTTTTCTCCATGACAGACCTTCAGGTATTTGGAAGCAGTAACCCTGTCTGCTCTGGGTGGGCACTTGGCCAGGCTAAACATTCCAGGTCCAGAGAGAGGTGCCGCTCGGACACTGGAGGAGGCCTTCCTTCCCTTGGCAAGTGCACTCCGGGATGCCACTTTTGGAGACAGGGTCAAGGCAGTGGCACCCAGGGAGGGGCTGCCTGGGGCTGGGTTTCCCCTTGACCTTTAGGCTGCTGTGGGGTGGGTGGCCTTGCTGCTGGGGCCAGGCTTTAGAGCAGTGGCCCTGGCCCCTGCCCTCAGATACTTCAAACTACTCCCCATTCTTCCCGATGTCTTCTCCACAGAGAGAGGTCCCTGCAGGTCCCCCAGGCAGGTCAGACTGCCCAGCCTCATCAGAGTGTCAGTGCTAATTTTAGTCAGAACAATCTACCTCAGGCTGCTGCCCTGTTTTGCAAATTGCTCTCCTTTCTCCAGGGAACCGAAGAAGCCGTGAGGAAGACATGGTGTAGCCGGCTGGGGTGCCCACCCACTTCTAAACGAGCCCTTTCTCCTCTGTCGCCTCTGAGTTCTGGACTGACACTGATGTGCTTAGAGGATGGGGCGCCCCGGACCACTCAGACCTGCCGCACAATGACCTGGAGCCTCCATCCTGGCTTGCGGGGTGCCACAGCCCAGCAAGGAGGGCAGCTGACCCAGGGCGCTTGAGAGGAAGGGGTGAAGGTCTGAGGGGTCTGCAAATTGAAGGCCTGGGAGAGCAGATATCTTTCCACCTCCCTCTTTTTCCTCCTCTCTCCCCTCCAAGCCGGCACTAGGTCCCCCCACCCTCCAGCCCGTCTCTGTCATCCACCCCCGCATCATCCCTGCCTCCGGATTCCTTTCATCATCCTCTCTCCATCACTACCGACCCCCACCCCACATCCCGTTCCCTCCATTTCATCCTAACCTCACCCAGGGATCCGGCCACCAGGATCTGGTCACCCTTGGGGATAGGCCAGATTCGCCCTCCCACCCGCTCCTCTCCTGCTCCGCAGGGGTAGCGCGCCCCCCGTCCTCGTGCTCGCCAGCGCTAGGGCCCCAAGACACTCTCCCACCCCCTGGGCCCCCATGCCGCTGTGGTACACCCCCAGCCCCAGGCTGGCCACTGCAGTACTCACTCCCCACGCGTGGGCTCTGCCTCCAGTCCGGGTGCGGGTGGCCGCTGCTGCCTTTCGCCCCTAGTGCCGAAATCCGCACCTGGTCCGCGGGCGCTGGAGGCCCTGCGCGCCAAGTGCCGGCGGCTCCTCGCTGCGCCTGGATGGGATCAGGTGGCGGCGTCCGCTCCGCTCCCTTCTCCCCGCTCGGCCCGCCCCCTGCCCCCCGTAGCACACTGGAGGCAGGGCAGGGGCGGGGCCAGGCCGGGAGCAGGGGAGAGGGAGGGGAAAGAAAGCGGGAAGGGGAGGGGGATTCCCTGGCTTGCAGCTGCCAGGGAACACTGTACCCGCTGTGACTTCGGAAGCGAGCATCTTCCTCCCGCAGCCTTGCAGAGTCGGACGCTGATGTGGCCAGCTCCCTTCTCTCAACAGAAGGGGAAACTGAGGCTGGGAAGGTGTCTGAGTACTCTGGCATTGCTGGGTATTCGTGGGCCCCACTGGTCATCCTTGGGCTAGTGGAGCCTTTTTCCTGGGTGAGTTAGAGACACGGGTACACTTACAGCCACTCACATTCTCCATCCCTCCTCTCCTCCTCTGTCCATCTCCCTGGAGGGACACAGCCCCAGCATTGTCTGGTCCCATCTGCCCTCATACACCCTATTCCCTTCCAGCCTGTCCCCAACACCCTCCAAGGCCACCCCCTGCTGCTCACCTGCTCCTCCTCACTAGGACTGCAGACCCACTCACTAGTGACCAGAGCTTTGGTGAGACTGGAAGGGACCCTTGCCCAGGCACCGTGCACCAGGAATCAAGAGAACCCAAGTTCAATGCTGGTTCTGCTGTTAAGTCTCAGAGTCAAGAGGCAACTCCCTGAGCCCTGTTGCTTCCAGCTCTAAAATGGGAAGCTGTTCCTGGAGCTGTTTTGCGACAGCAGAGGTGATACTCGTGAAGCCTCCTTGTGAACTCCCGTCTTGGTCCTTAGCTCCTGTCACCTGGGAGCTGGGCAGCAGCACCTCCCAAAGCCATGCCAGACACCAAGAGCCCCACATTTAGTGCTGTGGCACCCTGCTTTCTCCTTCACTCTGGGTCCAGTAAATCAAGGATCCTGGAGCTGGGGCAGCCACCCAAAGCTGGGACTGGAAGGGGCTGGATGCCACCTTTTAGGCCCACAGGCAATAGGTAGGTATTTTGTAAGGGTCCTTGTTAAAGAGGGGAAGGGAATGGAGACTCTCTGTAGAAGGAAATGCTTGTGGCCCCAGTTTGGCCCCTAGGACAGGTCATCTCTCTGCCCCTCGATCTTCCCCTCTGTGCAATGGGGAGGAGGGTACCCTGCCTGCCTCCCAGGGCTGTGGTGATAAAATGAGGCCCCACCCTTAGCCCTTAGTTTATTCTGCCTCAGAGACCCCTCCACTCCCCCAGCACCTACTTGTACCTTGGGGCCTCCAGCCTCAGGTGACCTGCCCTGCACTGTCCCAGGTACAGGAAGCAGAAGAGCCTGCCTTTGGGCTAGAAAGAGTCTACCTGAGTGAGCTGACAAGCTGGAGGGAAGGCCACTGATCTTTCTTCTGTGCTGTCCTTTCTGGGTTTGGCTGCCCCTCTGGGAGTGGCAGCAGGAGCCTGGGATAGTGATGTTGATGGAAGAGGGGAGGGTCAAGGCTTGGGTAGGAGGAAGAGAACTTCCCTGGCAGTGCTAGGATGTGAGCCACCCTTTGCTGGCCCAGTCCTTTCTGCTCGAATACCTCACCTTCCCTAGATCTGGTGCCCTATTTTTTTTCCAAAATATTGAGGGGGTACAAATATTTTTGGTTACATGGACTGCTTTTGTAATGCTTGAATCATGGCTGTAGGTGTGCCCTTCACCCAGATAGTGTTCATTGTACCCATTAGGTAGGTTTGTTTTTGCCCCTCCTCCTCTCCCCTCTGCCCCAGTCTTTCTTCTTTTTTTTTTTTTTTTTTTGAGACAAGGTCTCATTCTAGCTCGGGCTAGAGTACAGTGGTGTCTTCATAGCTGACTGCACCCTCAAATTCCTGGGCTCAAAGGAGCCTCCTGCCTCAGCCTCCTGAGTAGCTGGGACTACGGCATGTGCCACCATGCCTGGCTAATTTTCCTATTTTTTGTAGAGACAGGGTCTTGATATGTTATCCAGGCTGGTCTCAAGTGATCCTCCAGCCTTGGCCTCCCATGATGCTGGGATTACAGGTGTGAGCCACTGCACCTGGCCTGATTCCCCATTCTTTTTTCCTTGCTCCCAGCTACTTCAGTTGGTGAAAAGAAGCCAGCTAGAGAAAAGATGTGAAGGGTGTGAGTGTGAAGGAAATGAGACCATTTCACTTGAGTCTCCCCCCTCCCTAACCCAACCTAACACACACACACACACACACACACACACACACACACACACACACACAGTGAGCCTGGCTGTCAGAGGGCAGGGCTAGTGGCTGAGGTGGGGAGGCAAGGATCAACTGCAGAAGCCATCTCTGGCCCTAAAGGCCACAGGAAGTGGAGCAGGGAGTGGGAGGCAGAGTGGGCCCTGACAGTAGGCAGGCGGGGCTGAGCAAAGAAAAGGTCCAGATGTATTTTCGAGACTAAAAAAAAAGCAGGTGTTGTAGTGTGGAGGGCGCGAATAGACCATAGGAGAATTTAATGAAGCCAAATTGAGAGGCTTTATTAGCTGGCCAGCGACCACCTCCACCCGCATAAAAGCAGTATGAGAGGATGGCACCATCTTAAGTTTTTACGAGGGTTTTATATTATTTTTGAGGGAGGCTATGTGGCACAGTGCAGGTGTTCAGGGAACAAAAGCGGGGAGTGAAGTCTGGGTTGTAAGATACAAGGTCACAGGGCATAGTTGCCCTCACAGATCTCTGGCGCCCGAAGGCAGATTACAATCCTTAAAGCAAGCTGCAAGCAGGGTTACAGAAGCAGATGGCAGTTATTAGACAAAAGACTATTTTTTCAGTGTATCACTTCAACTATGTCGCTATAATTTAGCTAGCCCCTGGTTTTTTGCTTAGTTCATTTATTAACCCCTTATTGTAAAGCTCTCAGCCCACCACAGAGGGGGGCACAAATCCTGTCGCCAGAAAGTTTCTTCATTTCAGTGATCATTTATTGGGCGCCTTTGGAACGCCAGGTGCTGCGAGACAGAGATCAAGTGCCTGTTCACGTTTTGCTGATGGAGGTAGGGAGAAAGGGCAAGAAAGACCTAACAAACGGCGATTTGAATGTATTATGGAAGCTCCAAGGAAGGGAAGGAAAGCGGGAGAAGGCTTAGCGAAAGAGACCACATTTGAGCCGGCCTGGGCAGTGGAAAAAGGGGCTTTAGTGTCGC